CTCATTTATGGAGAATGCAGATGCAACGCAAGTGCCGCCGCTAGACTTTATCGGGAAAGATATCCAAATTTAGAGCGCTATCCGGATCACCGCGTGTTTGTTAATGTGCACCGTTCACTCACAGAGGGCGGCCGTTTCCCGAATCAAATACGGGCTGGAGGTAGAGCTCGCTTTCCTTACGAGGAAGAAGTGTTGCAAGAGGTCGCAGATGACCCAAGTATTTCCGTGCGTGGAATTGAAGAAAGAACGGGAATACCCACAAGCACAGCACATCGTATTTTACAAAGAGCCGAAATGCATCCGTTTCACGTACAACGAGTTCAAAGTCTTCTTCCTCGAGATTATCCTGAAAGGATTTCATTTTGTAGAACAATGCTACAGAGGCATAATGAAAATCCCCAATTCATCCAAAAAATTCTCTGGTCACATGAATCTGCATTTAAAAAAGATGGTTACATAAACTTACACAATTTTCACGAGTGGCATGTGGCGAATCCACATTTAATGCGAGAAGACAGATACCAGTATCGCCTTAAAGTAAACCTGTGGACCGGAATTTTAAACGGCAAAATTATTGGGCCTTTAGACCTGCTTGAGAACTTGAATTGTTAGAGGACATACCACTAACACATCGTCGCCACATGTGGTATCAACAAGATGGCTGCCCAGCGCATTACGCAGTGCAAGTAAGAGATTTCCTTGACCAGGAATATCCGGGAAGGTGGATTGGACGTTCAGGCACTATCTCGTGGCCAGCCCGTTCCCCAGATTTAAATCCCCTGAATTTTTTTTTATTGGGTCGTTCTCAAAGAAAAAGTTTATTTAAAGCCTATTGAGAGCGTAGCCGAGCTGCGTGAACGAATTTCTCCAGCTGCTCAGGACATCCACTCTCGAGGATATGCCCGGCTAATAAGTAGATCTTTTTTAAGAAGATGTAGGGCGTGTATTAAGGCTGATGGTAAACAATTTGAACATTTATTGCAATAAAAAATGTTATATCCCTCTATGACTTTTATTGCAATAAACCTTAACTAAACTATGTCAAGATTTTTCATTATTTTATTAATTTTACTTACTTTTGTTGACGTGTGTCAAGTTAGCACTACACTTTTCGAATTTGGAAAATTTAACTACGGCATTAATCGTAGTGTCTTTGTTGTAAATTTGTTGTGGAAAGAAAAAATTTGTAGCTCTCGTTTTTTAAGAAAAAATTGTATGTAGTGCTAACTTGACACCATACACCTAGTCGATAGAATTGAGATATCCAATATGTTACTATGCCATTAATTGTAGCTTTTAACTTTAAAATTTGTTGTGAAAGGAAAAAATTTGTAGCTTCCGTTTTTCTGGAAAAAATTGAGTTGCCCTTTTTCGAACAAAATTTAGGATGTAGTGCTAACTTGACACCATACACCTAGTCGATAGAATTGAGATATTGAAAATGTTATAACGGCATTAATTGTAGCTTTTAGCTTTAAAATTTGTTGTGGAAAGAAAAAATTTGTAGCT